AGAACCATCCAGTGATGGCCGGGGGGGGGGCGCTCTGCACGAATCAAGAGCGGGGTCCCGTTCTTCCGTTGCAGTGCCATCGGTGACGTGCAATTGTTTATTCACGAAAACACCGCGGAGCAGCTTCAAAAACTCTGCCTGCTCCCCCTGCGCTCGTCTTTGGGCTAGACTCCCACGTAAAGGGTGGTCCTCTATGAGATCAGACGTTGGCTCCTTTGGAAGGGAAGGGAATCCACGGCTTCCCAACTGTGGGGGGGTCCCTAGATGTTCTTGGACTACAACTCCCAGAAACTCTAGCCAGCACAGCTAGGGGTGAAGGCCTCTGGGAATTGCGGTCCAAGAACCATCTGGAAACCCAAGGTCGAGAAGCACCAAGGAAAAATAGCTGGAAAAGTTTGGAAAAGTTTGGAAATCAACCTGATGGATGGAGGCTTGGCTTGGACCTTTGAAATTTTACTTTTTTCAGCAACGCCCACCAGAATCTTTTCAGCTGGCCTAGATCGTGGCCATGCTGGGTGGGGGATGATGGGAACCCTTGACCTTTCTTTGATAAGCCCAGCAAAACCTCCCGTCCATCTGGCATCCAGTTGTGAACTCTCCACATGGTAATAAGCCGTATCCCTCGGTTTTCTCTCAGGTTAGTCACAGGAGAAATGTTTAAGGTTGTGGGATGGGAATAACAAAGGGGTGGAGTTGGAGTATGAAAACAGATGCACGGATGTACACCCATGTGCCCGTCCTCTTGCATTTTTCATCTTTGCAGTGTGGCTAGATCTAAAAGAGAAGCTGTTTTTAATCTATTCTTTATCAGCATTTTGTCCATGGTTTCGGGTTCAGAAGGCTTTTATATAGTCTTAGACCTTAGACGGCCTTACCCTTAAACCTTTCCGGAATATCTTCGGGAAAGGGAGAGCTATCCACGGCCTCTCGTCACCTCACCTCTGGCATCCTTTCAGGGTTGCCAGCGAGGTGCAATTGCTATATAGAATTCCCCCCCACAGAATCGTGGCCCTGGGGATGGTAAAATCCAGATATATAGCCATGCCATTGAGTTGACTCTGGCTTAGGGTGACCCTTTCTTCTAGGTAAAGTGGTGCCTCGCTAGACAGTTACCCCGCATGACAGTTTTCTCGCTAGACATTGATTTTTTGTGATCGCTATAGAGATTTGCAAAACAGTGATTCCTATGGGGGAATTTCGCTGGACAATGTTTGGTCTCTGTTTCGCAAACCGATTTTCGCTAGACAACAATTTTGACAGCTTCCTCCGCACTCTCAAAACAGGTGTTTTCGGGACCGAAGCTTTGCAAGACAGCGATTTAAACAGCTGATCGGCAGTTCGCAAAGCAGCTTTCCTATGGCCGCTCTTCGCTAGACAACGACGATTCTTCCCCACTGGAACGCATTAAACAGGTTTCAATGCATTCCAATGGGGAAATGCTTTTCGCTAGACAATGATTTTGCTAAACAGCGAATTCAGTGGAACGGATTATCATCGTCTAGCGAGGCACCCCTGTACTGAGCACTGAGCAGAGGGTTACCATTCCCTTATTCTGGGGCCCCTTCTGGGACTGCGTGGCTTTCCCGAGGATACTCAGGATTCACACATGGTTTGGAGAGCGAAAAAGCAAAGGCGGGCTGAGATTCTTTGACTTTACCAGGCGAGGTCAGCCCGGCTGTGTTCGCGGCCCTCAGCCAACGAGAGCTATTTCTGGGTTGTTTTACAAAACCGGTGCACCCGGGAAAGGCAGCCACTGCACCGATCCTGTTTCAGCCTTGAGCTTGCAGGAGGAAGGGCAGAAAGCAATATTACTAATAAATAAATTGATATAAAACATGTAACTTCTCCACCATTTGCAAGATGTTTCTTTTCTGATCAAGGAACCAGAACCCTGCGCCTCTTTTTAAGGTAAGAGTTTAAAATCCCAGCCTGATGCTTGGAGCCAGCAAAACTTACATGCTGTTCTGAACGACGGGTTCAAATCCTTGCTCTGGAGTGGAAACTCACAGGGGGGGGGGCGGCGGCGGCAGTAAAACTACTCCTTAAATATCTCACATACTTTGCAGCCCTTCTAGGGTCACCCTAAGTTGAGTGTGACTGGATGGCATGCAGCATTACACAACAGGCGACAAATAAACAACAACAGCCGCTCCCCCACAACGCCTTTCCGGGCCTGACGCAGGCTTGTAACTATGCATCGGGGGTCCCGCACAGGGATTGTGTTGCCCTGCGCAGGAAGCTCCTCCCCACAAGCTCCATGAGGACTAGTGTTATGCCACTGACTGTCTGAGGCTTGGCACAGACCGTCCACAGACACCGAGCCACCGAGAGCCCACAGCTCTTCTCTACGTCATTGGGAAAAACGAAAAGGAAGTGAAACATTCCCGAGCACAGCAGTCTGCAAAACTACTTTTCAGAAGCACAAACCCCACCATCCAATAGCCAGAAGCGTGAATCTCTCTTTTCTGTTACATTTCTATCATCATCACCCTCTTCTTCTTCTTCTTAGAACTATGGAGCTGGAAAGGACCCAGTGGATCAAGGAGGCCCAGTGGGGGTGGGGATCAAACTCCCAACCTCTGGTCTTCGCGGCCAAAGACCCAAACCACTGAGCTACCCATTCACATTCTGTCCTTTCTCCAGTGAACTCAAGGGGATGCCCATGGCCCTCTTCCTCTTCTTCCTCCCTACTGGCCTCACAACCATCTTGTGTGGTAGGACAGAGAGAAAGAGAGAGAGAAAGAAAGAAAGAGAGAGAGAGATAGAAAGAGAGACGTAGCCACCAAGGCTGTTCTTTCAGCAGAGAGAGAGAGAGAGAGAGAGAGTCACCAAGGCTGCTCTTTCAGTGGAGATACGGATTCCCCAAATCTTGGCATGCCCCTCTGACAATCCCATCATGCTAGTCGTGCCAGATGGGGGAATTCAACTCCCCTCTCCCAGCAAGTACAGGGCATCCCAGGGCACGCTGGCCTCCAAAGAAATAACTTTTCCAACCTCTGGTTCAGCTGAAACCCAAACACCACACATCACCACTTTTTGCACTTCCCAAGTTAGAGCACAAACCATGTCTCTTCTCAAAGCACGCCCAACGAACCCGATACGGCAAAGTGTGTCTTCCCACGGCCTCTGTTAATGCTCTTGGCTGCCCCAGGTGCCCAGCCCTGGCACCAAGTCAGATCTCAGGTTTGGGTACCTTTTTCATCCCTGGGGGTGAAGCCGTCTTCCACGCTAAGCTCCAGGAGGCAGCTGCTTCTGGGGAGGAACATCCCTTGTCGTCTGCCAGCAGGCGAAAAGCGTGCAAACAAGTTTTGCAAGGCGAGTGGGCAAGCAGGATATAATTAAGCCGAGTGGAATTTGGCACGCGCAACCAAGCCGACACCTCAGAAAGGTAATGCCGACACGTCACGAACCCAGTCATTCCAACACTATGTTTCCTAATGCAACCGTGTGTGTGTGTGTGTGTGTGTGTGTGTGTGTGTGTGTGTGTGTGTGTGTGTGTGTGTGTGTGTGTGTATGTATGTATGTATATGCAGGGCCCTTTCCCACGGAAGTGTGTAAGACACACACACACAAACACACACACACACACACACACACAAGTGGTGCAAAAAACATCCCCTACATCCTTCTCAGAGGAGAGCCAGGGGTTAAAGAAGAAGGGCCAGCTCAGTGGGTTGGAGCAGCCAGCTGTGGAGCCTAGGACCAGGACTTTGGACCTCCACTGGGCTTCCTAGGTGCCAAGCTGGCCGAGATGCCCTGGGGTGTGTGCAGCGGATGGCATGATGCGCCCTGCCACTTGTGTGGCCTTGGGCAAGGTGGATGCCGCAGCATCTCCAGGAACAGAAGGAACATAGAAATCGTTGTTGAGTACATTATGCCTAGAAGACCTTGAGTGGATTGCCCTACTTTGGAATCTCCGTGATCAAGACCAAATTGCTGAGTACAAGGCTCAGGAAGGGGCACAGCCGAGGGCTGGAAGAATCTCGCACCCGGAACTCTGGAGGAGCCGCTGCCGTGCAGTGTGAAGGGCACCACGCCAGATGCGCCCGTGGGCCTGCCTCCGCGTGAACCAGGTTCTCCTCTCCCTGGCCTGAGTTTGAGAAAAGGTACCTTGTGGAGCACAGCTTTTTCTGAAGCCCTGTTTCTTGATCTCTGTGTTGCCTGTGAGAATCACGCAAGGGTGTGTGGGGAAAGCAGGCACGCCTTGTGGGGACAGAAACGCGGTCTCTCTTGAACTCCCCCCTTTCCCTCCCTCTCCAGCCCCTTGGTCAGGACGCTTACCGTCTGTGATGGCCAGATCCTCACAAAGCGAGAGAGCGCTTCCTTCGCCGGGCTGTTAGAAACAGGTCAGCATCATACCATTCTGGCGGCTGGGGCTGCAGGGGGGAAAACAGAGGTGGCCGGGTGTGAGAGAGAGACACACACACACACACAAACACGCAAACACACCCTGTGAGAAATGAGGGTGTTCCTGAACAGCAGCATGCAGGCAGAGAACGTGGCCACTTTCCAGCCTTACTGTGGTTTCTCTCTCTCTCTCTCTCTCTCTCTCTCTGTCTCTCGTTCTCTTTCAGGTATCAAAAGCTTGCTACAGTTTTGGGACACTTCCTCGCCCGGCGGTTTCAGAAAAGCTTGGGAGGTGTTGCCACATTCGTTCTTTGCCAGCTGGGTCGGTTGGCCAGAGAAGCAGCCCTTGTTCCTATTGCACAGCTGGAAACACTGAGGCACACCAAAGGAGAGAGAGGCTGATCGGCAGGAAGCTTAGCCCAGTCCCTCTCGGGGACTATGTCTCCCAGAATCCCCCATGTTGGGAGTCATTGCATAAAAAACATTACATATTTCCGAAACTTAGAGGCAAGGGAAGGACTGGCGTGAGCCCGGGAAGAATGGGAAATGTGATGGCAGATCAATTAAGTCCCCCCCCTCTCTCCTTGGCTACCTGTCTGGGGGGGGGAAACCTTCCAGTCAATGCCTTAACTACAGGTGGGTGTCTCCCCCCCCCCGACCAGCTCTGCAACACCTTTTTTCCCAATCCCCACCCAAAGACAGATAGTTTCCTGTATTTTCTACATCCCCCCCCTTCACCACAGCCCAGTGGGGGCTTGCTAAGATATCATCGAAATGCAGGGAAGCAAGGCTGAACTCAGAGCAAGCGGTCCTAAAATGTCAAGGGAAAATGCCTTGGTATTATTTCTGCTGATTTGTGACCTGCATTTATATCCTGTCCTTTTGGCCGTGAGTTCAAGATGGCTCATGGGACATTTCTGCCTCCATGATGTCCATAGGCAGATGCATCATCATCAAGAAAAGGAAATTTTTAAGAAAAGGCTGAGGGCTAGTAACTTGGGGGTCTTTATTGGCACAGCTGATGTAGCAAAATGATGGAGCACAGGATGACTACTGACAGCTATGTCAAGAGCAAGGGAGGTTTGGTCTCTGGGAGTGGTGGTGGTGGTTGTTCTCCAAAATCGTTTGAAGCTACCTTTTCGGACACAATTATCAGGATCACAGATGCAGGGGATTCTGGAAGTTGTAGTCCAAGACAGGTAAAAGTCCTGGGCTCTTCTGAGCCAGAAGGAGAAAATGCTGTTTTTGAAAAATGACTCTGCCACCTATCCTCTGTTTTGCACCCCCTGGGTGCTCCCACCAAACCAGCTGCTTTTCAACCAGGTATTTAAATGATCAGGGACATCCAGCCCCTTGGCTTTCTCAACCCATCTATTTTTAGGGCTTTTTTTTGGGGGGACGACGACGACAACGACAACAACAACAGCAACAACGACAACAACAACAGCTGTGTTAAGGTGCTCCTCCCGAGTGGATCAGGGAATCCAAGCTGTAGATGGAAGGAAGATGAGGAGGGAGGGAGGGAGGGAGGGAGGGGAGGAGGAGTGTTTAACCCCTTCCTCTCCAGTTCTGGTCCTTGATCAAGCCCCTCACCTCCCCATGGGTAGCTGCATTTTTAAAAGTTATCTTTGGCAACTATCATCATCATCTTAGAGCTATAGAGGTGGAAGGGACCCTCTGGATCACAGAGTCCAGCCCGGGTCATGGAGGCCCGGGGGCGGGTCGGTGGGAATCAAACTCTCAGCCTCTGGTTCTGCAGCCAGAGACCTAAAAGTCCTAGATTCTCACTGGCTGGGAGACAGGCTTACCGCTGTTCCTCCAACATCTGGAGCAGATGTCGTGAGTCAATGGGATTCAAGTCTTGACCTACCATTCAGCGGCTGATTCACACCATTTACAATATCAACGGATTCAAGTCTTGACCTACCATTCAGCGGTTGATTCACGCCATTTACAATATGAGCTTAATACTTGTGTGTGTGTGTGTGTGTGTGAGTGTGTGTTTGTGTGTGTTTGTGTTTGTTTGTTTGTTTGTTTGTGTGCCTATGGATCTGAACAGAACTCTCGGTACTGTCAACAAACTGCATTTCCCACAATCCTCTGGGGAGGCCCTGGCAGTTAGAATGGCTAGAAAAAACGGATTCTAGTCTACAGAATGAGGCTAACGTCAAGGCTGCCAGGCAACGGAAGACCTTGTCCTCCAATCCCAAGATGCAGCCACATTTGGCACATGCTCAGAGGCAACCTTGTCCTTATCATCCTTTCAAACACTCTCTGGGTGGCATTAGAAACAGGTTCTTGAGCCCCTGGAGATGGAGGGGTTCTGGAGGATTTTGAGATAAAGGCAGAGTCCAGGAACTGCGGAAGCTAAGCCAGATGGGAAGAGCTCACGTTTGCCAAACTTGAGGGCATGTAGGGCAGGGCTTGGAAAATTACTTTTTGGACTACAAAACCCAGAATCCTGGAAACCGTAGTGCCAAAACATACCGCGAAATCTTTGCATGTAATTATATATTTGTTCAAAGTACAGTACTTGCTTTTCGTTCTTCTACCCCTCCCCCGATCCCAAAATCAATGCTTTGTAGGGAAATATTACCAACCTATTAAAAACATCAAAAATAAATTCAAAACCCTCATCAGATGGAGATTTAAGGCATTCTTTGGGAGACGATTTTCAGAGGCACCCTTAAGGCCCTTCAGAGACGCTGTGTAGGGCAAGAGGTCGCCTGACGTGGACCACAAAAGGTGGCCTTCGTTGAAGGCACTTGTGGGAGAAAGCAGCCTTTCTGGTCTCCTCATGATGATGCGGTTCCTCTCCCCGGGAAGCATGGCCACCTTGCACATTTTCATGATCAGAAGACCTTCCTCTTGGGTCTAAATAATAATGATCACCAAGCAAAATGGTCAATCCTGCAGAAAGCCCCTGAGGGAGGCGAGAGGACCACGACAGATATGGAACTAGAGGTCTGGACCTCGGAATAAACTCTGGGCCATCGTGAAGGACGCACCTCCATCTCCAACGATAGGAGAAAGAACTGAATCACTCCCGAGCACCCAACAGCCAGTGGCACCAATCCACAGCCTTTCTCCCCCTGCAAACCAGCTCCTGTGACTTCCAAGGCAGCTGCCATGACCCAGCCGTCCTCCCCACAGCTTTGTCACCTTCTGTTCCCTCACCAGTGGAAAGAATGAACATCACAACTAACGTCATCTGAGGACTCCTTCCTCCACCCTTGAGGAGACTCCCTCAGACGAGGTTAACTAATAACAGCTTACCTCCCTGGTTACCACCGTCCTTGGTTGCCTCCCGCTAGCACAACACAAACATTTGGGGCCTCGTTTTTGTGTCTGGCTGTGTTGTGTAAGAGGTGATTTCACCACATGTCCAAAACAAGGACTTGGTAGGAGTGGGAAAGGGATGGGAGGGAAAAAAAATGTAAGGATGCTGTGATTCTCTAAAGTTTGCTCAGATAGCCACCAGAGAGAGAGAGAGAGAGAGTGAGAGAGAGTGAGAATTGAAGGTGGGAAATGAGCTGGCTAAGAGTTCTGCTCCAAGCTTGGCACAAGACATTCCTGTTCATCTACTAGAGATTGCCATTCATTCTGATGAAGCGTTCTGCATAACCGTAAAGCTTGCTTATCTCTACAACAACCCACACCAGCCCTAGAATAAGGAAACCTCTCTCCCTTGCATGGGGTTTAACAATTTTGCATTAAGCCACCCTGATTCCTAGGAAGAAGTGGCCTGCCGTCCACAGAGGCTGAGACCACTGTAAACTCCTCCATCTTCAAGGTCCCACCAAGTCTCTTGGTCAGCTCTGCCCCTACGAACGACAGACTTCTTGAGTTACCTCTCTGAGCGGGTGTCTTACCTTCGTGATGCTGTCGAGAACTGAAAAGGCCCTGCTCAAATACCTCAGGAAAAGCAATCCTTGAGCTTCCCCACCCTCTGAAACAAAACGTGCCCACCTACTGGGAGCTTCGGTCTGGTTCATACCCACCTGTGGGCACCGCAACAGGCCCGAGAAGCGTTGTGGCATACGGCTGGCAGTCCGGGAGCGGCCCAGGCCTTCACAGCAGTCTCGGCCGGTTGCTTTTGCTACTCCCCCAAGCTGGGAAAAGGATGGGGAGGAGTGGGGTGCGGGGAAGAAAGAAGGCAGATTATTAAAAAGGTACTTTTTGTTTTTGTTTTTACTAACCTGTGGGTCAGGCAGATTTTTTCCCCCGCAGTAGCTGGGCAGGGAGCGGTACAACTTCCCGGCACAGAATGAACTCAGAGGCATCGGGGTAAGACGTAGCGCAGAACTCGGCAGCTCAGGTTACCAGCTAGATAAATATAGTGTCTTATCTGACCTCACAGGACGGCTGGAGTGCTCTCACATTCCAGGACCGGGGAGACTTAAAGGGGCCGCGCAGGAGGGCACCCCCCCTCCCGGCCAGGCATTTTAGTGGAGGCACCCCTCCAATGGAAAGGTGGTGGGTGGTGGTGGAGGAGGGTGTGTGTGTGTGTGTGTGTGTGTCAGGACTGGCTATCCAGATTGGAGGGTTTCTGGGTTAAGATGGGAAGAGGGGGCAGTTTGGAGGGGGACTGGAGAGAGAGGACTGGCTATCCAGATTGGAGGGTGTCTGGGGTAAGATGGGAAGACGGGGCAGTTTGGAGGGGGACCGGCCTCCCGTGGAAAGGGGGCTACAAACCCCACAGGAACAGGGGTCTCTGGAGAACCGAAAGATACCCAGAAGACAACTAGGAGAGGAATGGGTTTCTTCCAGAGTGTGAAGTCCAGTTGATGCAGGCCGGCCCGGCATTATGAAAAAAGACTGGCTAATCTTAACACGCGGCTAGTCCTGAAGATGCCATAGAATTATTCCCTGTTTTCCCTAACTAACTTGGCTGTCTTCTTGAATTTTATTCCCCCGTAAACTCTGATTTAACACCAAATAGAGAAGAGCATCCATCACCCCCTTTGTGACATGAGCATGCTTTCCGCTCTCTCTATCCAGTATCTCTATCATCTGTTTTTTTTTTAAAGGAAGGCAAAGATTTTCTTTGAAAACAAAGGGGGAAGAGGGGAGAGAGAGATTCCCCCCCTTCTTTTAACCCACCCCTCATTTTCAGAAATTGGAAATAACGGGTCCCCACCCAGAGCGCCTTCCCAGAGAGCCCTCTCAGGAGCGTAACAGGGTGTTGAGACCTAGGGGGAGGCCCATGTTCTTGTGTTTGCTCCGGACCATATTCTCGCTTCAGGGCATATTCTGGGCTGTGACTCAGCCACAAGAACCCGGAAGGATCTCACAAAGTCCACATCATGCTTCCTGCAGCATTGACACCTTGGCCTTCTTTTCCCCAAACACAGCAAAAAAATAAAATAAATAAAATAAAAATAAAAAAGGTCAGTCCAGGAGAAGACCCTGGAAAGGTTCAAGTCCCACCAGTGGGTCAGGTCCAGGGTTCCGTTTAGAGCCAAACGGATCTCTCTCCCGGCTCCCCGGCCCACAAAATGGGGCGAGAATGGACGAAAACTGAGACAAAACAACCCCCAAAGCTTTATGGACTCTGGTCCTTGTTAAAGACTTTTCCCCCCTTAATGTGGGA